TGTGGCAACACATGATGCTATATGACACACCGTGTGGCCACACTTGATATATATGATACAATGTGTGACCACACTTGATGTATATATGATACAATGTGTGGCCGCACTTGATATGACACACCATGTGGCCACACTTGATATATGACACACCGTGTGGCCACACATGATATATGACACACCGTGTGGCCACACTTGATATATGACACACCGTGTGGCCACACTTGATATATGACACACCGTGTGGCCACACTTGATATATGACACACCGTGTGGCCACACTTGATATATATGATACAATGTGTGGCTACACTTGATCTATTGGGTATTTTTACGAGGTTAGAGCAAGAACTGTGTATACCTAACACACCCATCATGCAGAATGGATTTCCTGTCACACTGCATCACACAGGATGGTTTTCTCGTTATACTCTCCCACAGGATGATTTCTCTCTCATATTCCATCACACGGGATGGTTTTCCCCTCTCATACTCCATCCCGCAGGATGGAGTTTATAATAAGGTAAGGGCATCCTTCACCCCTGGCTGAGTAACTCATCCAGTCAAGTTAACCTTCAAAACTGAAGGGAAAAAACACAGATATAATAAAGAGATGAAATTTTTCCTTATTTTTTATCTGTCCCAAAACTTCCCTGAGTTGGGGAATTTTTTACTTGCTTATTTTTTGACGGTTATTTGGAAAACTTTGCATCTGACAAAGAAAGTTTATGTTGTGAGGAAAAATTGGAAAATAAATTTTGAACAAGATTGCTTCTGTGCGTGTTTGCCGGATGTGGTGTAGTTTTTACGTAAGCCGAACCGGATATGGAGGGCGAGTTTGAGGCCTGGTCACAGACCGGCCCGCGGGGGCGTTGACCCCCGAAACCCTCTCCAGGTATACTCCAGGTATACTGCGAGATTTTTGCTACTCGCTCTCAGTTTTATGTTAATATTTCACAAACAAGAAGTTTATTTTAATAAAAATGCAGAGGAATGAGGTCGTAGAGCAGGAAATTCTCTATGTATATTATTTAAAATCTATTATAATTCCTTTTCTAAATTTTTTTCCAGGTGTCACTGAAAAAGTTGAAAGATCAATAAAAGTCCGTTGTGTAGGCGGCATCAAGAAGAAATTTTTCTTATATTGTAAAATAATTTTAGCTAACAGAAAGTCACAGACCGGGCCGCGGGGGCGTTGACCCCCGAAACTCTCTCCAGGTAAACTCCAGGTAAACAGTAGTTGTTAACAATGGTGTCACACAACTTGAGACGTGTGATTGAAACCCGAGAAGAAGGTAATTTTGAGATTTTTAAAGAAAGTGTACACAGTGAAATGTAAACAGCTGACAGACGTGAATACATTGAAGATAAAAATATTACCAGAGGTTTAAGAAAAGCAAAGAACTAAACCAGGAAGAATGAACTTCGTTGTCAGATGAACTATTTGATTTCCAGAAGTGTGTGTTTTGTGGGGGAAAATTGTGACATCACAGAAGAAAAGGAAAAAAAAAAAATCCTGCTGGTAAGTGGGAAGTTATGCGTGAAGTTGACATCCTGACCACGAGAGAACAATACGGAGGATGCTGAGGCAAAAACATGATGACTGGAGTGAGAAAGTGGCGAGACGAGGGAACAGTATAACATGGCTTAGTACAGAAGTTTATTTGGGTACAGGTACATATAAATACAATTATACATACGTGTAAATCACCTTGCGTAAACCAAAAAAAAAGTCAGTCACTTATTTCCACTAGAGTCCTTGTAAATTTTGCTTTAAATTTGCATGCCACCTTTAAAACTTTAAAACGAGGACGACCACAGTTTGGGCGATCATAGGATGGAAGACTACAGGATGGACGACCACGGGATGGAAGACCACGGGATGAACAACCACAGGATGGACGACCACAGGATGGACGACCACGGGATAGACAACCACAGGATGAACAACCACAGGATGGACGACCACAGGATGGACGACCACGGGATGAACAACCACAGGATGGACGACCACAGGATGAACAACCACAGGATGGACGACCACAGGATGGACGACCACGGGATGGACGACCACGGGATGGACGACCACAGGATGGACGACCACGGGATGGAAGACCACGGGATGAACAACCACAGGATGGACGACCACAGGATGGACGACCACAGGATGGACAACCACAGGATGGACGACCACAGGATGGACGACCACGGGATGGACGACCACGGGATGAACGACCACAGGATGGACAACCACAGGATGAACGACCACAGGATGGACGACCACGGGATGGCGACCACAGGATGGACGACCACAGGATGGACAACCACAGGATGAACGACCACAGGGATGGACAACCACAGGATGAACGACCACAGGATGGACGACCACAGGATGAACGACCACAGGATGGACGACCATGGGATGGCGACCACAGGATGGACGACCACAGGATGGACAACCACAGGATGAACGACCACAGGATGGACGACCACAGGATGGACAACCACAGGATGAACGACCACAGGATGGACGACCACAGGATGGACAACCACAGGATGAACGACCACAGGATGGACAACCACAGGATGAACGACCACAGGGATGGTCTGCATAAGAAAAGGAAGGGAGGAGGGGAAGGTTGTTGCAGTCGGCGGAGGGGGAACACTTTAAAATCTTTATTTCTACATCCATCACGAATACATGTATATGTGGAGAATTTCATCTTTTTGTAAATTATTTCCTTTATCTTAATTTGACTAGACTTGAGGAGAGTGAGGACACCGGAGGGTGTAACCCCAGGCAGAGGAAAAGAGGATGACTCACGGAGGGATAACCTTGACAAAAGAGTAACCTTGACTACTCCTCTCTCCTCCCTTATAACCTTCCCTCTCTCCCTACCCCAACACCCCTCAACCCAGCCTAGTGGATGGGCTCAATTCGGTATAACCAGACAAATTATCTCCCACACAGGGTGTTGCTGCGTGTCACGGGAAGTCGTGGAAGTAGGATGTGGCCTGAGGATGCTCTAGGATGCACATTTAGGATGCACTGCTTCTCGACGCTCCTGGGATTAAAACCTGCCTTCTTCTCCTTCATTCTTCACCTGGAATCTCAGCCTCAACAAGGTATTATCCGTGATCAGATTAATTTGTCCTGAAAATGTAGTTGAAATTTTATCGGTCACCAGATTACCCTCTTACTGCAAGTGACTGACAGCTCCTCCCGTTTCAGAAGCATCTGACAACGCCTACTGTCATGCAAGTATCTGCAGGTTCCTTCTCCCGTCATGCAAGTATCTGCAGGTTCCTTCTCCCGACATGAAAACATCTGACAGAACTTCTCATGTTCTTAGTTTCTTGTGTTTCTAATCCACCCGGAATGTTTGATGTTGTTGACCTGGTCATGGACTGGGCCGCGGGGGCGTTGACCCCTAGAACACCTTCCAGGTAAACTCCAGGTAGCCGGCTTATACGTTTGACATTATGCTATATGTCTGATATTGCTTCACGCAGCACTGTAGCCGGATGCTGTGTTCCGAGATGTTCAAGTCATTGTTGCAAATTGCTAATAAATCTGTCTTTGTTTCATGCAATAGGCGTAGGTCTAAGAATGGATTTGGATGTGTTTGTAGGGCATGGATGTTTGTGTGTGGGGGCTATTAGTACACTAAGAGAAAGCACAAAAAGTGCCCGGGGCCCAAGACTGTTCAACAGCCTCCCACCAGGCATAAGAGAGAATTACCAATAGACCCCTGGCTGCCTTCAGGAGGGAACTGGACAGGCACCTAAAGTCAGTACCCGATCAGCCGGGCTGTGGTTCGTACGTTGTACTACGTACGACCAGCAGTAATATACTGGTTGATGAGGCCCTGATCTACCGGGAGGCCTGGTCAAAGACTAGGCTGCGGGGGCGTAGATCCCCGGAACACCCTCCAGGTAGACTCCAAGGAGACTCCAGTGAAGACGTTCATTGCCAGTCTAGAAGTTGAAAGAGACACCAGTTGTTGTGCTAATGAGTTTGTCTTTAAAGCTGGAGAATTCTAGATAGAAGTTTGACCACATGACAATAGAAGGTGCATGTGAGTCATGTTGTCCCCATGGTAAACTTGGTGTATGAAGAGGGTCGTTGCTGCCAATGTGTTCCCGTATGTGATTGTACCCAAGATACAACAATCCTGCAAGAATTACTTGTTTCTTTTCTTGTTAAACCAGAGTACACTTCATATTTCTGGTTATCGGGACGAGTCAGTTGAGTTGCAAGTATGTCTGGCACACTTGATGATTTGTCTCGCTCCTTCTTCTTTCCCTCTTTCTCATCTGAAAAAAAGAAGTTCAGTTTGTGTCGAGCAGTTAGCCAACTATTAGCCAGCTGTTAGCCAGCTGGCCAGGACGGTGAGGAATCTCTCATCAAGCAAATGACTCCACTGACCATCCTCAAGATGTTTGTTCCAAGTGTGTCCTTGCTCCCTCCCCATTCTTCTCCAACAACACTCCTCGTCAGTTTCGAAACAGAGTTCGAGGAGTGTCCTGGAGAGGAGAGTGGTAACTCAAAGTCACTGTAGATTGAGTGAGCCGCCGCCATCTTGAGTGTCTTGGGAGTGGCATCAACGCACCCTTCAAGACGAGTGTTTTAATGCTAGCTAAAAGGCTCTTGATCCATACAATTTGAGCTCCTCTTCGATTAAACCTGGTTGCCTCTTGTTCGTTTCATCCCCCCTTTCCCCAGGCTCTGCATGACCCTTATGGTTTTACTGCTTCCCCGTGGTAAATAATATTAATAACATTAATAATAATAATAATAATAATAATAATAATAATAATAATAATAATAATAATAATAATAATAATAATAATAATAATAATAAAAAGTAAAAGAAGAGAAGAAAGGGAAGTTGAAGAAAATGAAAAAAGGCGAAGAAGAAAAAGAAGAAGAAGAAGAGGAGGAGGAGGAGGATCGTCGTAGCTGCTACTTCAAACAAGGTACTTGAAGTGTCCTACCTTACCTGCTTTGATCGTCAAGGTGCAGCTGAGAAAGTCACTCCCGAGCATCAGGGAAGACGCTGGTTGTTAGCTGGAGGAACCTGTTTGAGACTGGACCACAGTGATTCTCTGCTGGAGACTGCACTTCAGTGATCCTCTGCTGGAGACTGCACTTCAGTGATCTTCTGCTGGAGACTGCACCTCAGTGATCCTCTGCTGGAGACTGCACTTCAGTGATCTTCTGCTGGAGACTGCATCTCAGTGATCCTCTGTTAGAAACTGCACCTCATGGATCCTGTTAGAGACTGCACCTCTGGGATCCTGTTAGAGACTGCACCTCAGTGATCCTCTGTTAGAAACTGCACCTCAGGGATCCTGTTAGAACCTGCACCTCAGGGATCCTCTTAGAACCTGCACTTCAAGGATCCTCTGTTAGAACCTGCCCATCAGTGATCCTCTGTTTGAAACTGCACTTCAGAGATCCTGTTAGAACCTGCACTTCAGGGATCCTCTGTTAGGACTTGCACTTCAAGGATCCTGTTAGAACCTGCACTTCAAGGATCCTCTGTTAGAACCTGCACTTCAGGAATCCTCTGTTAGAACCTGCACCTCAGGGATCCTGTTAGAACCTTCACTTCAGGGATCCTCTTTTAGACTGCACCTCAGTGAGCCTGTCTTCCTTGTGGTAACTCCATGACGGTAAGCTCAGGACGATGATACACAACACAGAATTCGTCCTTTTGCTATTTCACTCCATAATATTTAATATGAAAACTGCCCCACTCGATGAAAATGTAAAACTTTCACAAATGCGCATAGATAACTTCTTTTATTTTATGGAATGAAGCGCAGGGCAATGATGTATTACGCACTAGAAGCGAACAGTCATTAGTCACCACAAGGAATGCGTCGCACAGTATCACCACGTGTGACTCGTGTTGCTTCAGGATATTGTGTTGAGACCTCCAGCTTCAGGTATCAAGGACTCAGGGAAAGAAGGAGGAGGAGACAGCGGCGGTGTCAGAAGAGTGCTCTTGTCCTACAGGACTCCGCTCTCTGACTGACGGTGCCTGGCCTGGCTGCCTCTACCCACCCACCTCACTGACTGCCTCGCCCATGGACAGGAATAGAGGGTTATAGGATTACACAATACAGTCAGCTGATCCTTCTGTATAGCCACTGGCATCTGACAGGTTCTCACCACCTGCTGTCGAGTGGTTTACCTCCTCACACTAACACTACTAACTAGGTAAATCATGAGGGACTTTAACAAACTCTTCTTTAGTCTGTGTGATTTAAAAAAATGGTTTGAGAGGATGCACGGGATAAACTCAGTTAATTGCCTCAAGATTAATATTATTATTATTATTATTATTATTATTATTATTATTATTATTATTATTATTATTATTATTATTATTATTATTATTATTATTATTATCATTATTATTATTATTATTATTATTATTATTATTATTATTATTATTATTATTATTATTATTATTATTATTATTATTATTATTATATTATTATTATTATTATTAGTAGTAGTAGTAGTAGTAGTAGTAGTAGAAGTAGTCTTAGTAGTAATAGTAGTAGTAGTAGTAGTAGTCTTAGTAGCAGTAGTAGTAGTAGTAGTCTTAGTAGTAGTAGTAGTAGTAGTAGTAGTGGTCTTAGTAGTAGTAGTAGTAGTAGTCTTAGTAGTAGTAGTAGTAGTAGTAGTAGTCTTAGTAGTAGTAGTAGTAGTAGCAGTAGTAGTAGTAGTAGTAGTAGTACTAGTAGTAGTCTTAGTAGTAGTAGTAGTAGTAGTAGTAGTAGTCTTACTAGTAGTAGTAGTAGTAGTCTTAGTAGTAGTAGTAGTAGTAGTCTTAGTAGTAGTAAGTAGTAGTAAGTCTAGTAGTAGTTAGTAGTAGTAGTAGTAGCAGTAGTAGTAGTAGTAGTCTTAGTAGTAATAGTAGTAGTAGCAGTAGTAGTAGTAGTAGTAGTAGTCTTATAGTAGTTTAGAGTAGTAGTAGTAGTAAATATTAGTAGTGTATTATTAGAGTAGTAGTAGCTTAGAGTAGTAGTTTAGTAGTAGTATAGTAGTAGTAGTAGAAATAGATAGTAGTATGTAGTAAGTAGTAGAGTGAGTAGAGCAGTAGTAGTAGTAGTAGTAGTCTTAGTAGTAGTAGTAGTAGTAGTAGTAGTAGTAGCTAGTAGTAGTAGTAGTAGTAGTAGCTAGTGTAGTAGTAAGTAGTAGTAGCTATTAGTAGTAGTAGTAGTAGTAGTTTAGTAGTAGTAGTAGTAGTAGTTAGTAGTAAGTAGTAGTCTTAGTAGTAGTAGTAGTAGTAGTCTTAGTAGTAGTAGTAGTAGTAGTATAGTAGTAGTAGTGTAGATAGTTAGTAGTAGTCTTAGTAGTAGTAGTAGATAGTAGTAGTAGTCTTTAGTAGTTTTATAGTAGTAGTAGTATAGTAGTATATCTTAGTAGTAGTAGTAGTAGAGTCTTAGTAGTAGTAGTAGTTAGTAGTTAGTCTTAGTAGTAGTCTTAGTAGTAGTAGTATATCGTAGTAGTAGTAGTATGTGTAGTATATAGTTAGTAGTCTTAGTAGTAGTATATGTAGTTAGTAGTAGTAGTAAGTAGTCTTAGTAGTAAGTAGTTAGTAGTAGTAGTAGTAGTAGTAGTAGTAGTAGTTAGTGCTAGTAGTAGATAGTATAGTAGTCTGTAGTAGTAGTAGTAGTAGTAGTTAGTATTAGTAGTAGTGTAGAGTAAGTAGTTCTTAGTAGTAGTTATAGTAGTAGTAGTTAGTAAGTAGTAGTCTTAGTTAGTAGTAGTAGTTTAGTAGTAGTAGTAGTTAGTAGTAGTTAGTCTTAGTGTAGTAGGTATAGTATAGTCTTAGTATAGAGTAGTATATAGTAGTAGTCTGTAGTAGGTAGTAGTATATAGTATGTAGTAGTAATAGTTTAGTAGTAGTAGTAGTCTTGTAGTTAGTAGTAAGTAGCTTAGTGTTAGTAGTAGATAGTTGTAGTAGTAGTAGTAGTGTAGTAGTAGTAGTAGTAGTCTTAGTAGTATAGATAGTAGTAGTAGTAGTAGTCTAGTATAGTAGTTGTAGTATGTATAGTTTAGTAGTAGTAGTTAGTATAGTAGTAGTAGTGTAGTTAGCTTAGTAGTAGTCAAGTAGTATCTTAGTAGTAAGTATGTAGTAGTAGTAGTAGTAGTTCTAGAGTAGTAGTAGTGATAGTAGTAGTAGTATAGTAGTAGTCTTAGTTAGTTAGTTATTGTAGTAGTAGTCTAGTAGTGTAGTAGTAGTAGTCTAGTAGTAGTAGTAGTCTTAGTATAGTAAGTTAGTTCTTTAGAGTAGTCAGTAGTATTGTAGTAGTAGTAGTCTTAAGTATAGTATAAGTAGTTAGTAGTAGTATGTAGTAGTGTCTAGTAGTAGTATAGTAGTTAGTAGTAGTCTTAGTTAGTAGTAGTAGTAGTCTATATAGTTAAGAGTATGTAGTTATAGTAGTATAGTAGTAGTTAGTAGTTATAGTTAGTATTGTCTTAGTATAGTAGTAGTAGTAAGTTCTTAGTGTAGTAGTAGTAGTAGTTTAGTATAGTATATAGTCTTAGTAGTAGTAGTATAGTTAGTAGTAGTAGTAGTCTTAGTAGTAGTAGTAGTGTATAGTAGTAGTAGTAGTTAGTAGTAGTAGTAAGTTCTTTAGTAGTAGTAGTAGTTAGTTAGTTAATAGTAGTCTTAGTAGTAGTAGTAGTCTTAGTAGTAGTAGTTAGTAGTATATAGTAGTCTTAGTAGTCAGTAGTAGTAGTTTAGGTAGTAGTAGTAGTCTTAGTAGTAGTATAGTAGTGCTAGTAGTGTTAGTAGTATAGTAGTAGTCTATATAGTAGTAGTAGTAGTAGTCTAGTAGTAGTAGTAGTAGTTATGTTGTAATCTATAGTAGTAGTAGTAGTCTTGTAGTATAGTAAGTTATAGTAGTATCTATAGTAGTAGGTAGTAGTCTATAGTAGTATAGTAGTAGTGTAGTGTAGTATATCGTAGTAGTAGTAGTAGTAGTATATATAGTAGTAGTGTATGTGTAGTAAGTAGTAGTGTAGTCTTAGTAGTATCAGTAGTAGTAGTATAGTCTAGTAGTATAAGAGTATCTTAGTAGTATATAGCTAGTAGTAGTAGTTCGTCAGTATATATACTAGTAGTAGTATAGTCTTATTGTAGTTAGTATAGTAGTAGTCTTAGTAGTAGTAGTATATCTTAGTAGAGTATGTCTAGTAGTATAGTAGTAGTCAGTAGTAGTAGTTTAGTGTCTTAGTAGTATATAAGTTTAGTGTAGTTAGTCTTAGTCTAAGTAGTTAGATTGTATAATATAGTAGTTATGTTGTAGTTAGTTTGAGTTATGTAGTTTAGTATAGTAGTATGGTATAGTCTTATAGTGTAGTCTTAGTAGTAGTATAGCTAGTAGTAGTAGTCATCTAGTTAGTATAAGTATAGTTGTAGTGTCTGTATGTATAAGTAGTGTAGTCTTTGTATATGTAGTCTTAGTTATGTAAGTATAGTATATAGTAGTAGGTAGTAGTCTTAGTAGTATAGTATCATGAGATAGTAGTCTTATGTAGTATAACAGTTAGTCTCAGTAGTAGTGTAGTTGTAGTAGTAGAGTCTTAAGTAGTAGTGTATATGTAGATAGTCTTAGTAGTATAGTATCTTAGTATATTAGTTTTGGTAATAGTATAGATCTTAGTGTAGTCTAGTGTATCATTAGTAGAGTAGTATTCTCTATTAGTTAATCAGTAGTATTAACTCTATATATTAGAGAGTGTCTTATGTAATACAGTAGTGTATGTCTCTCATTGTATATACACCGAGAGGTGTATGTCTCTCACTATATATACACCGAGAGGTGTATGTCTCTCAGTGTATATACACCGAGAGGTGTATGTCTCTCTTTGTATATACACCGAGAGGTGTATGTCTCTCATTGTATATACACCGAGAGGTGTATGTCTCTCAGTGTATATACACCGACACTTGCCACAGACACAGGCCTATAATTTAGAGTGGGTTTCCAATTAATATTGTAACATCAGGATTTGGATTGTTATTTCTATTCGTTTCTACACCAGTTTACTTTCATGAAATGAAATTTCAGATATAATTTAGTTCTGTTTGTCGCTTCAGGACGCAGAGTAATATATACCGTCTCCTCACATTGTATGTTTTGCTTTGTCAGTCCCCTCAAGCAGTTTCAGACGTTCGACTCTCCATATCAGTGATAGTCTTCCAACTTAATCCTCTTCATCTCATTATTCGCATTTAATCTGTTTTATGGAAAATTCGAATGTGATCATTCGTTGTGGCTGGCTGCGTCTTCCTCTTCACATGTGCTCCTTATTTCCTTCTCAAACTCTAATACAGCTCACCTGTATTTCTCATCCTTTCTTAGCTATGGACATTATGCATTGATTCACGTTTTTTTCCTGTTACGTGATGTTAAGTCATTAGTTTTGTGTTTAATCTGTTTTTCATTTTAGGATGAAGTCTTGAATGTATTCGTATGTTTGTGCGTACGTGTGGCTATGTTAATGTTCACGCACTTGTCTTGGATTATTAACCAAAAGGGTTAATAACCCGAGAAAGTAGTGTGCGTGTGCGTGCGTGCATGCTGGCTTGTTGTATACATGTATATGTATGCGTGTGTGAGTGTTTATAAATACGGCTACATGCAGCGTTAATAAACATGCCACTTTAAAAAGCTCAGCTGCTGCCTGTGTGTGACGCGTCATGAACAAAATTACACTAAAATACAGTCAGCACGCCATGACGTCCCTCCTGTCCGCCATGACGTCCGTCCTGTCCGCCATGGCGTCCTTCCTGTCCTCCATGGCGCCTTCCTGTTCCCCATGACGTCCCTCCTGTCCACCATGGCGTCCTTCCTGTCCCTCATGACGTCCTTCCTGTTCCTCGTGACGTCCTTTCTGTCCCTCATGACGTCCCTCCTGTCCCTCATGACGTCCCTCCTGTCCGCCATGGCCTCCTTCCTGTTCCTTATGGCGTCCTTTCTGCCCTTCCTGTTAAACACTCTCCAGCTTTCGCTTTATCCACTCTTTTACAAGGTATGAATGGGCTACTGATG